ACTTAACATTATTATTATTATTGATATAATGAAAATACATGTTTAAATAAAATAGAGATATATATCAATTAGTTTAAATGTTTTAAAAATTAAATTGTTCAGATATTTAATTGAAACTTTTTATAGAAATTTATTACAAAAAATACTATGCATTAAACAATAATAAAGTAAATTCCAGTCCAACAAATAAATCATCGAATAAATAATTTTATCTGTTTGATAACGGTCAGGTCCTAAGAACCTTGAATATACGGTAATTAATAAAAGTTGTAATAAATATCAATTTTGTTCTCATAAATATTAATAAAATGATACATAAATATCATTGAACATGTTGTCATAAAATATTCTTAATATGATTATTTGGAGCTTAGACTACATTACAGTTTTGTTTTTAATATGATTATTTGGAGTTTAGACTGCATTATATTTATCGTAATAAAATATTTTTAATATTAAAATTCATATTTACTTTTAATAATCGATTTGGTCTACTATAATGTCACGTAATTATGTCACCTCATATCAACCCTTGTTGTTTCTTGTGTTCTGACTATTTCAAGTATGACCTAAAAGTAATTAATCCAACATGGGCGGTAATATAAGTCAATCACCCGATTCATCCATCTAAATAATTTTTCTTATTTTTCTAAAATATATTATTGTATGAAATAAAAATATTTTATTGTTCATGTAGTAACTGTTTTAAACAAATGAAAATATATTAAGATTATAAATTATATATCTAAACTTATATTATAAATTATTGATATTTATTAATATATTTTGTTAAAATTATGCATTAAAACACAAAAGAAAATACGTAATACCAAAAAAAATAAAAAATAATAATAATGTAGATGTGTAGATAAATTGTTGTCATGCTAAGATAAAACAAACCTGTAGATATTTTGTTGTTGATAAGGTCCAAGAAGCATGACTCCGGTTCGTCCTCTTCGGCTTGTGATATGGTCCAAGATGAACAACTCCGGCCCTTCAGAGGGTTCTTCCCGGTTATGATGCAGAAGCGCCCTAACTCAGTCTGGTCTAATCTCAAACGTTTGACGGTACCTACAAGAGCGCCGGAATTGCTCCGACGCAAAACTCTCGGACACCCAAGTCAATATCTTTGAATATAGAGAGAGAGTTGAGAGCAATAAATGTAGCAGCGAAATAAAATGAGAGCTTGGCCAGATACCTGCGGCATTTAGCTTATATATAGCGTTTAATTGTACGGGTTACCTTTGGTTCGATGCCAGAACATATGGGTCAGCCTCCGGGTCTAAGTTCGACCCCTTGAGTTGGTCGACGCCCCACTCGACCTCCGGTCTACGCTCGACCGGTAAAGTCATCTCGTTGCTCGAGTCGTCGCCTGATTAACCATCGGTCTATGCTCGACCATTAGACCATTAGGCCATTAGACCATTTGTAACACCCCACTTTGATTTTACAAAAAATCCATGGCTTTTCCAAAAATCACAATAAAATTTTTGAAATTCATTTTTCGAATCATAAATATTTCGGCGTTACTCATTCATTTCAAAACCTAATTCAAGTCATGTCTGAACTAACGGGGATTCATTACCCGAATTTTCAAAGGTTTTCATTAACCATTTATTCAACTACATAAACAATAAACATAAACATCATGAATATCAACGAAAGGTTTTTCAACATAAACCAATCCAAACTTTTCCAAAATAATCAAGTCAACATGTTTTCAAAATCCAACATATCATCATGTTCGAATAAACCAACATAAGTTCATAAAAACGGAAGCAATAATAATCATAAATAAAATAAACCAGACCACCCACTCGCCTTGTCTCGTCACGCGCCAACTGCTTAACTTGCATCCGTTAAAAGCAGGTGGGAGTAAGCATAAGATGAAAATAATGCTCACACTATGCAAATGCACATTTTATCATATGTTAAATAGGCATGGTCGCAACATGAACATAAACAATATCAAACATGTCTCATCTCTCTTAGTCAATACGGCAATGACTCACTCCTGTGTACACATCTTTCATTAGTCACGGAAAGGGGATTCATTACCGTAACGGCAAGAGTGCGTGCCACGTAAGGACACGACCTTTCATTAGGTCTTATAGAGACTTGCCTCATAAGGGCAATCGTACCGTAACTCGACGGGGACAACTATACCGACGGCCGTGACAGCTCACATCGATAGGCTACATGCTCACATTCATACATAGATCATACCGAATTTAACACATTTAAAACACATATACATAGACATTTTAGAATAACTAACCCACTTGGTATTTCGAAATGGCAAAAACACAATAAGTAGTGACGTAGATCGAGGCCTGACTCCTCAAACACCTATCTTGACCTTAGAAGGAAAAACACAAATCATACTTAGTTGAACTTGATTCAACTAAGTTGTTCGTGGAGTCCTGTGGACATTGGAACACTAGGATCCAGCACTAAGACTCGACCAACACAATTATAGGAGTACACATAAATTCAAATAAGGGATGACCAAGACAAGTAACAAGGAGCAACATATATGCCAGTTTACAGACTTTAACACAATAAGCTAAATTTTGCAACATTTGACGAGAATATAACCTATCCAAGTTGGTCAGGCAAATGAACGAGTTTGAATCTGAAATTTTAACACAAAATTCTCATCACTGGACATAGCAATATCACCAAGTTTCCGTCCTTAACTCAAAACATCCAATTTTATAAAATTAAAACAAGATTTCAACAAAAACGAGCATGATTTATAGTCTAACCTAATGAACGATTTAAGCCTTGAAATTTATACAGAAACAACAGTAGCATGTGAGGATTAACATATAAAATTTCCAGCTCTAAACATTAAACAACGATTTATAGGATTATTTGCAAGATTCAACAGAATTCATATTTTCATAAAAAACATATCAAAATCAACTCAATTAAATCTGGAATTTTTACATCATAAAACGCATCATAAAATGAGCATATAAATCAAAATTTAGCCATCTTCAGTTAGGGGTCAATTATTTATAATTCAAACAAGGTTAACAGTAAGTTTTAAATAAATATTTACCCTTGCAAATGGAGTCTAAAAATTCTGAATTTTTTACACACTGACTACACATGACAGAGAAACAACATATTTAAATTTCAGCATTATTAGAGTACAACTCGATTTATATGAATTTTTCTAAGTTTCTGCCCAGAAATCATTTTCGCAATTTGGTCATGAAAAACACCGAATTAAAATCTCATATATTACCACATACGCATATACCACAGAGAAGAAACATATCCAAAAATCAGAATTTTTGACCAACAGTTCGAATTATCATGTATTTTACAAGTTCCAACAGCAACATAGATTTCAATAATCCATAACTCTCAATCTAAAACTCAAATTGACACAAGGTCAAAACCATTGTGTCAAGGACATTCCTAAGTTCCAGATTCCATAGTATTTCCATGATTTAACATGATCTCACTCGATTTCATGAATAAAAAGATCTCAACATAAAAGCAATAGATAGTGTACCCTAACATGCAAATCTCATTAAGGCATCAACATATAACATATTTACACATCAAAATAGAGGGATGGACAGCTTTGATACCTTTCTCGGGACAGTGCTCGAAAACAGAACGAGGGAGGGCTGACGGGGAAGACAGCAACTCATGGCGGCTAACGCGCGGCTCGCGGAGGAGTGCAGCAGCTGGGGACGGCGCTGCGCGAGAGTGTTTCGCGTTTCTGCTGGGGTCGTCTGCTGCGCACAGTTGCGCGTCTCATCGGGGTTGATCGCGACGAGAGCTCGCGACCTGCTCACGGTGGAGGAACGGTGGCTGGTTTGTTGCGGTGGCGAGGATTACGCGAGGAATGAACGGCAACGTGCGGACGTCGCGATGGTCGGGTCGGCGGCGATCGTTGATGGAGAGAGAGAGCTTGAAGGTGGTCGGATTTTTGAACGAGAGGGAGATAGAGAGCAGATTTGAGAGAGAAGAGTGGTTGCGGGCATGTGTTATGAGGGGGAGAGATGAGTGCACAGATTTAATAGCTTAGGGTTTAAAATCTTGGCACACAAGAAACACACACAAACACGAGAGAGAGAGAGAGAGGGTGGAAACCGGGTTAGGTCTGCCGGTTTAATGCGGCAGGGTGCGCGGTTCTTCGGGCCTAGGCGCGGGTTTCAAAGACTCGGGCCGGATCTCTCAGTTCTTAGGGGCTTGACTTAGCCATAATAATAACTCAGTTCGATAGCACGTTTATTAAAATAAAACCGGATAATTATTGATATAATACACACATTATTTAGTTAATAATAATAAGCATTTATACAATTAATGACAATAATACCATTAATAATAATAATAATAATAATAATAATAATAATAATAATAATAATAATAATAATAATAATAATAATAATAAATAATCCCAAATAATTCATAAATAAACAATGCATTATACCATTAGACCATTAGACCAGTAGACTATTAGATCATTAGACCATTAAGCTAATGGCCGAGTAGGCCATTAGGCTTGCTTGGCCTCCATCTCACGGGTCTTTGTCTGGTTAGATCGAGTCGGTATTATAATCCCTATCAGTTGTCATGCTGAGATATAACGCAGGGATGAAGAGAAAATTCCACAGATTCTGGAGAAAATATCATGGATGGAGAAGTTGCTACTTAAAATAAGTATAAGATTTGTAAAGCGAATGATTTGCATTAGCTGATTAAGCGGAACATAAAAACGGATTAGCTTAAATAAAACGTGCCAGCAACTTAGTTTTAATAGTAAGCAGTCAAATTTTTGACACTTTTTTCTAGTACTATATCACGTAAACTCTTGCCTTATTGTTATTATTATTATTATTATTATTAAATGAATACAACTAATTTATCTTTATGAAAATGAGAAATGTTGTATCCGTTTGAAGTGTTGCTATGAAAAAAACCCTATTTTTATTGTGCGGTGTATTCTTCTTCATCTACAATTTATTACTTGAATGAATAAATCTCTAAGCTTTCAACTCTCCATGCATATGCATCAGGCGGTGGAGATCGGGAAGGAGCTAGCAAGAAAGCAATTTATTCATCACGTTTTTGGGTAATTTATACAACTAAGACTGGTGATATGATAGTAGCATTTTATTCATCATGTTTTTGGGTAATTTATACAATTAAGACTGGTGATATGATAGTACAAACTTGAAATGTGTTTTAATGTATGCAGCGAAAATGAATTCGAAGATGGGAACCACTTTTACAGGCTCCTTGAACACGAGGCATTCATACCAAAGTGCTACAACTTTCGAGGTGTAGTCAATGATTGTGAGCCTAAGGCGGCAGCCTGTGTGAGTCAGAAGCTGGGTTGCTTAATGTCAGCAATAGTCGAGACTTACGCATTTGATGGTGGAAGGAATCTAGATTTCGTTGGAATTAGCAAGAGTGAAGAGTTTCGTAGGTAATTGAAGTTTTGTTTTGTTTTGATTTTTCTTATGGCCATATGTATATAATCAATGCCCAAACAAAACAAATTTGCAGATATTTAAATTTAGTTGAGGATCTGCAACGAGTGGACCTCCTAACCCTTTCACATCAACAAAAGTTGGCCTTCTTCTTAAACCTGCACAATGCAATGGCCATGCACACTGCTGTGATAAGTCGTAGAATGGGTTCAGAATTCATGTACGTTGTCGGGGGCCAACCCTACTCATTAAGCTCTATAAAAAATGGGATTCTCAGAAACAACCGAAGACCGCCATACTCGCTCACAAAGCCATTTGGCAATGCTGACAAGCGCCTGCAGGTACTGTTTCAAATAATAAATAGTAAATAATAAATTTTCATCTTCCCACTGTATTTTATTGTTACAAACTAATAATTTCATCTTCTGCAGCTGGCTTTTCCCAAACTCAACCAACTCATTCATTTCGGGACATGGAATGCAACTAGAGGTAGCCCGTTACTAAGATTTTTTACTCCTCAAACTGTTGAATCTGAGTTGAGAAATGCCGCAAGGGAGTTTTTCCTAAGGGATGATGGGATGCAAGTGTACCTTGCCAACAGGACCGTCTACCTCTCCCGGATTATTAAGTGGTAACTAATATATCATATATAACTTGCTATTCTTTTTATTTTTTTGGTTTTTTTCATCAAAAAATCACATGCTCAATTATTCATTGTCTTTTTTTGGAAAAATATTGCAATCGGCTCCTCAAGGTTGTTTTTATTTATTTATTCTTAAAAACCCCTAATGGGGGGTTTAAGAAAACATTTTTATTAAATGTTAGCATAGATATTGCTAAAACTGTAATACTGAAAGATGATTGGGGTTTTTTTGGGGTTGATGTGCCCAAACTATTGGCTCTCGATCATTTCGTACCACTAACCAGATCAACCTGGAAAAGCGTTGGGGCAGGGCTCCGACGTAGACACTCCGACGCTCAAGTCAGAAAACTTATATATCAAACGTACTGTAATTAAGAAACTTATTGAGGGCTTAGGTTAGAAATTCAACCTGTTTGGATATGCACAAACGTACTGTAATTAAGAAACTTATATATCCCTTATTTATAAGGGTTTTATTGACTTACTCCTCATGACAAGAGGTTTCCTTAATAACCAAGGAGTCTGATCCTTCAGAACCACTGTATAGATATGCACAAACTTGTTTGGATATCTCTTTGCAATGATTCCTAAATTTTTATAGGTATTTAACTAATACCATATATTGTTATGTTATAATAATCGAGCTATAGCTCCCTTGGACCAGTTGTACCCGAGCTAATCGCTCAGGTCGGTCCATCGATTCAAAGTGCAACATCATTTAGCCCCCTGCCACCCCCCACTGTAGACGAGCTTGGTAGGATATGACTAGTGTGAGAGTATAACAATTATACCTTGGGCAAGTCTATGGCGTCAATGTCCTGGGCTCGTTTGGGCCCCTGCGGTCTACTACGTCGGAGTTCTGTTGCCTCCTGCATGCAACTATGGATCCCAGGCCAACTTTGTACTTCCCTTGCCCCTGTGACCTCCGAGCTACCTGGTCGGAGTTCTACCACCTTAAAATGTTTGGAACCCTAGCTACCTGCATTTGCTATAACTAGGTCGGTATGATGATGTCCCTATGCCTGTCCGAGCTTCTAAAGGAGCCTGACCTCCAAGCCCTCTATACAAGTCAACCTATGCCTTAAGCTACATACACAAGCTCCTTGACAAGGTTGAGCACTGAACCCGAGCTAAAGCTGTATTAGACTATTCACACTCGATCTAACTACTCATGTCTGTCCACCGAGCAACTCTGGATACGAGCTTTTAGGAATTCTACAAGAATGATAATCGAATTGCTCTCTATATGGATGCTTTTCGTTTTTTTCCTTCTATTGAGAATGAACGCTTCTTCAAACATTAGAGAGCTCGAAAATTATTACTCGCTCTAGCTTTTGAAATACTTAGCCAATTAGGCACTCGAGCTACTTGCTTGGAATTCCTTTTTTATAAAAAACTTAACCTCTTTGGCATTTGAGCTATCCGTTTCGGGCTAATGCAACTTGAATAATGAATGACTTTAAGATATTTTATAGACTTAAGGACCTCGAGCAACCTGCTTGAAGTTCTGCCACGTGCCCTTGAGCCCTCGAGCCCATATGCTCGGTGTTATGTCTCTTAACTTCAGGCCCCCAACTCTCCCGCTTGGGGTTCTGCCCCACAAGGGATTCCTGGCTCTTGAGCTAACCACTTTTAGTTCTGCTAAATATCCTTGGGCCCTCGAGCTCGTTGCTCGAGGTGACTTTTTTGGGCACTTGAGCTCGTTGTTCGAGGTGGCTTCTCTTTGTTCCTGAGCTCGTTGGCTCGAGGTTGTGTCTCTTGGAACATGAGCACGTTGCTCGAAGGTACTTCCCATTGGCGTCTTCTTATTACGTCCCTGGGCATCCAAGCTCATTAGCTTGGGTTGTTAACGTCTTCTTATTACGACCCTAGGCATCAGAGCTATTTAGCTCCGCCCTCTAATGTTCTCTTATTACGTCCCTGGGCCTCCAAGTTGGGTAGCTCGAATCCTATCCCCTGACGTTCTTCTTATTAAGTCCCTGTGCATTCTTTTACGTCCCTAGGCATACAAGCTAGGTAGTTCAGAATCCTTCCCCCAAACATTCTTGTTTTACGTCCCTGGTCATTATTCTCTTACCTCTCTGGACAGATAAGTTACTCGAGCGATCTAACCCAACAAACTAGAATTCATTTAAACAAAAAAAGGCCCGGCTGGGTACTGTGACCAGGTCGGGTCGTCCGAATAAAAATAGCAAGGACCTTTCAAACAAAATCAATACAAAACAAAGAGGTCTTCCTTATTTTTCTTTAGATCTATGGTCGGCGTTCCCTTCTTTTGTTTTAGATAAAGGAAATTCCTGATTGTCGGATATCTCCCTATATAGAATNCTTATGTCCCCGTGCATCCCGCCCCCTTGCGTTCTTCTCTTACGTACATGGGCATCCGAAAGCTCAGAATCTTGCCCCCTAAGAGCATCTCGAACGGTGAGAATGGGTTGTAGTCTAAATTGATGGCCTTCGGTCCACGTAGACTGAATGGAGTTTCATGTTCATAAATAACTCCCCAACGGTGTATTTTAAATGTCCAGGAAACATTAGAATATTCATAAATAACTCTCCATTGGTTTATTTTAGATGTCCAACTAACTTTAGATTTAGTTGGCGCCATTATTTTTGTATGAATAGTGCTATCACCATCAACACCGTGGACTTTTTTAGTTTTAGGACAATATATACCATTATATTTATAATATAATTTTAGAAATGTATCAATTTTTTTCTTTTATTTTTTTATGTAAATTAATATATTTTTGTACAAATAAATACGAACAAGTTATAATTTCACCATGATTTTGTAAGAGCACCTGCTATCACCATCAACACCCTATTACTATACTACGCTAGATTATCAATCACCACAATATTATTGTAGTACGCCATATTTTATGGTCCTTTTTTTTTTTGACAAAATATATACCATTATATTTATATAACCTAACTATTTATTTTAATTAACAATAAAGGAAAAAAGTTAAGAAAAAATGTGACTCATCAGTCTGAAAGAGCCTTCACATGTAGAAAGACGTCTAGATTTATTATGTCTTTTTCTTGCCACATCATGACAAGTGGAAACAAAAAAAATCACCGTTGGAGAAGTTTTCTTATCGCAATCCTCTACAATTTCACAATTGAAATACCATTGGAAATGCTCTAACGTTCTTCTCTTACCGTGTCTTTGCATCTTGCGTGCACACATGGCATCGGGCCAACCTTGCTCTTATCTTGAATCTATGGCCCCCAACTCGTCTACTCGAGTTCTGCCACCTTGTGTATTTTAACTACCGAGATTATGAAATCGACTTTCACTTGTTATCATAATATCACAAAATAATATGTAACAAAGATATGCAAGCAATTTTCATTTCTCCACAAAAAATAACCCCAAGAAACTCTTCATAAAAGCTGAACTTGATCATTGGAATAAGTAGGGATTACCTTATGTACCTGGGTCGCAAATATTTCTTCTGACCTTTTTTAATATAATAACCAGGGTGTGAATCTTCTAGCCGATCCTTCCCACCTTCTCCATAAATGTAACTGAGGCACAAAACTTCTCGTCAAGCCGACCCCTCCACAAGAATAACCGAGCTATAACATGACTCGTCGTTTACTCCCAGCCTATCCACGTAAAATATTCGAGCTTGAAATGACTCATCTGTCTCTCCCGACCTCATCGGGGCTGGAGACGACTTGTCTAGTCCTCCAGACCTCTCGTTGTAAAGCATTTGGCCAAATACCTTGTCGGGCTTTTCCAAACTTTCTTTTAAATACTCCGAGTGCAAAATTTTTGATCGAGCCTTCCTGAGTAGTCTGTTGCAAGTCTTTTCAATGTCGATTTCCGCCACATGTTACCCCAAGTAGAAAAGTCGGTCCTTTTAGCCTACGATCCACCAATCGCCGCAAATCCCGGCGATCCTCGCTTGCGAGTGTCCTTGTTCATATGAATTCCAAAATCGTTCTCCCGTTTTTTTCTTTCAAAAAGACCGCAAATACTAATTTCTTTTCATTTTATTTATGAATATGCAGTTGCTTCTGCTCGTCCGAAACCAGTGGTGTGCAAAACTTGCAGCTTCTCTTTTTCTCTTTGAGCCAATTACTTGCTCCTGGTCCAATAAATATATCGACTCTTTGCCTTTTACTTTGGGCCAATTGTTGGAGTATATGTAAAGCAAACTTTTATGTGAGCTTTTAGATTGTAGTTATTTGATTTCCCATTTGACTGAAATAAATGTTTTCACATTGTTGCTTTCTTTATGATTGCTTGTATGCTAAATGTCCAATTATCTTATATTGTAGACAATGTGGTGTGTTAGTAGTCACACAGAAGATTACATTGTCGGTCCCGTCCTGGCTATTGGTTTATACTAGTGCGCTTCGTCGCATTGAATGGATCACAGTTGAGATGCGTTCTTCTATTCTGACTATCATGAAGAACTAAGGTCTCGGTGACTCTACTAATTCTTAACCCTAACTGTGATACTTAGATATGTGGGATAGTTGTTTGTTACTTTGATTTATCATGGGTGAGAACCAAGCATTGGTTCAATATACTCCGTGTCTTGGGTGACAGCATTGTCTGCATGATATCTATTTATTGGCATTAGGGAACCGTGTCCTGGACATCCAGGTTGATGACGTCCCCTTAAGAAACTCATAAGGATTATCGTATCAAACCCTGCAGGTGGATTTAATCCGTACGATAATAAGGTTGAGTGGTACTACTTAAGGAATAAAAGATATTAATTAATTAAAGCAGTCAGAAGCTTTAATAATTAATGGACGTGCGATATCTTAAACACGGGGAATTATATCGAGTCTAATAGAAGCCCTGATTCATTTCGGGATAGGACGGGAGTGCAATATTAATTCTTTAGTGGAATGAATTAATATTTACGGGACAAATTGTGTTCTGGCTGAACATAAGAATTTGGACCCGTAGGAAGCCCAAAACCTATACCTTCTAAGAGATCCCTAGTCTGGCCCAAGGACCTCTATAAAAGGAGGGATTGCTACGTTCTTGAACCCTAAGAGAACATCACGTCTTCAGCCACCACAAAAACGTAAGAGAAAACGTGAGGCGTTCAAGTGAAGAACAAGACGCAATCAACTCTTTTCAACCGTTTGGTAGATTGTCGTCCATCCGGCGTCCAAACGTGGTCGGGACACAGACTAGAAGATCGCTCAGATCGAATCAAAACCTCGAACAAAGGTAAATTATCTGTTCGTCCTTTAGGAGCATGCCTAGGGTTATTCGAAATCATGTATGTACATGTTTGGTATCAGATATTGATCCGTGGGATGGACCGCCTCGTCGGCGTGTTCCAGCACCAATAACCACTACGACCCATTTTCACTTTATTGTTGGATCACAATACGACCACTTTCCCACTTTCCGTGCCAACCTTTCGTGGCTTGAAAAATTTAGGCCCAAAAGGGGTTACAGTTGCAGAAACGGGGAACTGATACGTCGACGCCTCATTTTCTGTCTCTGCGAGAGAAGCTCGGTTCAGCTGATAGAGACCACGCGGGGGCTTCATCCCTGAATGTCACATACACGGGGTTTTGGGAATCTGGCGAGCAGCGCTGGTAACAAAAAGAGAGATGTGATAACCCGACGTCCAATTTTCAGCCTCCGCGAGAGAAGCTCATCTCGGGTGGTAAAGACCACGTAGGAGTCATTGTACCTACATGTCATGTTCTCCCACTAGGTTTTGAGAATCCGTTGGGCAGCGCTTGCAGTTGGTCGAGAAATCGAATGCCCAATTTTTACTGGCGAAATTTCAGACCCAATTTCCCGATTTGATTGCAATTTTTGCCCAAATTGAAAATGGGAAGAGTGGTCATCTCCTTCACGTGTGCACCAAATCTGGTGGCGGCAGACCTCATGTGTGGGAAGTATTGACTGATTAATTTCTTTTCGTGAGCAGCGTACAATCATCTGAGAGCAGCACGACGAACAGGCCAAGAACTGGCAACGAATCGCGACAGAGCATCGCATCGACGACAGTCAGGAGAAGAAAAAATTAGAACGACGGCGCATCGCGACTGTCGGACCTTGAATAGGGTGGCTGACCGGAGACGATAAACTCAAATTTAAGTGAGGCCTTGTTGTTCATCTTGACTAAACATAATCGACGAAGTAGGCTGCTTAATTCCATCTGGTGGCAACTATGGATCTAGCCGGTCGATTACAATCTCTGTTTGCCATCGCCTTTTTTTCTTTAGAGAGGAATTTGATTCCTTCTCCTTTTTTTCTTCAACTGGAAACTCTTTTGCACTTTTTTTCAGTAGAAATTAGGATTGGTCCTACAAGACTATGCCAATTTGATGTTCGCGAAATATCGGCTCACCAAGATTGCTAGTCAAATCACCGATCGCGTCGTACCACGAATTGAGTTAACCTACAAAAGCGTTGGGGCACGTAGACAATCCGACGCTTAAGTAAAAAAAAGTAATATATCAAACGTGTTGTAATTGAGTGACTTTTTGAGATCTTAGGTTAGAAATTGAACCTGGATCTCTTATTTATAATGGGTGTTTTTCGTAATAACCAAGGAGTCTAATAATCTTTAAGAACCACTGTGTAGATATACAGTAATTTGCTTTGATATCTCTTAGGAATGTTTCCTAAATCTTTATAGGGATTTATCTAACTCCATGTATATTTAAATTGTAATAATTGAGCTAAATCTCCTTTGGATCGATCATACCCACGCTAATCGCTCATGCTGGTCTACTGAGCTATTATGAGTGCTACATCATTGTAACATTTGAATCTCTTTATCGTGCAGGTATAGTGCAGATTTTGGTCAAGAAAAGGATATCCTTAAGTGGATGATGAGCTTCTTGGATTCAAGTATGGCCGGTCTTCTGACACATCTCTTGAGTGATGGAGGGTCTATCAACATAGTTTACCACAAATATGACTGGTCTTTGAATTCTTGACAAATGCCACTTTTATGGATGTGGGGATTGTGTGAATAATTCAATGTGTTTTGGTAATGTTTTTCTTTTCTTCTTTAAGAATAAATAAAGTACTATAATCATCTTCAATCAATAGCTTCGGTTCATTACTTGCGGCCTTTTCATAGTATTTATTAATGAACCTACTGTGTGTTTTTGTTTTGATTGATACACATTTAATATGAAATGAATATTTATACATCATCAAGGTTTAAGATCTTTTGGCTTTCTTGAATAATTTGTTCACCTAGCATTAACTTTTGATGTCACCATTTGTGTTTTGTGGAATGTTGTAAATTCGCATGGTACGTTTGTGTTTTGGTTCTAACATTGTGTTTTCATTGATGATTCAATTTCAAAAAGAGGTGTAGGATTTTGAGGATTGTGTTGATCTCTTCTACAAGAGATAACTTATAATTTGTGATCGATTTGGGGTTTCTAGTTTCTAATAATAAAGCGGAGTATGAAGATTTATTGAAAGGTTTGCAGACAGTAGTGGAAGGAGCTCAAAAGGTGGAGGTTCATTCTGACTCATAACTCGTGGTGGGGCAGCTTCAAGGCAGGTTTGAGATGAAAGAATAAGACTAAAATGTATGTCAAGGAGGTCCAAAGTTTTGTTAATGGTTCAAGCTCGTTCGAGCATGTACAACTACCTCGAAGAGAGAATGGGGGAGCACACTTGCTGTCTAAAATTGCTCAGAATTTGGTGGTTTGAAAAAGCAGGAGGGTACACTATCTCACATGAAGAAGAGTGGTCGAAGTTGTACACTATCTCAAGAAAGGAAATATTAAGCATGTTAAAAGATTTTTAAAGCAAAATGGAATCTTTTGTAAGAGCGGTCGTGCACAAGGCCACACTTGAGGTGCATTACCAATGAAGAACGTCGATACGTGCTTAAGGAGGTGCATGAGGATGGTGCAGTAACCACAGTAAGGCTAGGTCTCTAATTGCAAAAATATTGAGGACAAGCTCTTTATTGCCAACTATGCGAGCTGATATAGTGACGATGTTCAAGGAGTGCATTCAATGTTAAAAAAAATGGGCCTATTCTGCGCCAACCAGTGAAAGAGATGATGACAATGAGTGCACCAGTATCCTTCGCTCAATGGGGAGTCGACCTAGTAGGGCCACTACCTTAGGGGTCAAGGTAGAGGAAATTCTTGATCGTGGCAGTTGATTACTTCAGTAAGTGGGTGGAGGCCCAGTCTCTAGCTCGAATCTTGGAGGAAAAGGTTATACACTTTATGTACAACAACATTTATTGCTGGTTTAGAATACCTAAGGTGCTAGTTTCAGACAATGGAACCTAGGTCAATGGTCTGAGGGTACGAGCTTGGTGCGAAGACATGAAAACCGACCTACACTTTGCCTTAGTAGCTCACCCACAAGCTAATAGACAAGTGGAGGTAACAAATACAAAAATTCTAAATGGCTTAAAAAAGAGTTTGGAAAAGGACTTAGGTGTTTGGGTTGACGAGCTGACATATGTCTTATGGGCATACCGCACGACCTTGAGGTCGACCACACGAGAGAATCCATTTAGGCTTATTTATGGGATGGAGGCGTTGAAACCGAGGGAGGTCGAACTAAGTTCACAATGAATGTTGTCTTATGAGAAGGATTAGAATGATGAGTTAGCACGAGCAGCCCTTGATACAGTCGACGAGCTGAGAGATCAAATGGCCATCTGGGTGGCGACCTACAAGCAAAGGTTGCGAAATGCACATGACAAGGTGAAAATCAAGAGGTTCTAGGTCAGAGATCTTGTTTGGAAAAGGTTCGATGTTCTAAAGCACATTGGCAAGCTTGAGCCGAATTCGATGTTCTAAAGCACATTGGCAAGCTTGAGCCGAATTGGGAGGGTCCATATACTGTTGATCGAGTGCACGCAGAAAGAGCATATACGTTGAGAAACAACCAAGAGAGGTTATTACCTAGATCGTGGAATGTGATGAGTCTAAAAGAATATTATGCTTGAATTTTTTGTTTGTGTAATCATATGTCTTTCGTGGTTAATGAAGATTATTATCCCCTCAATCTTTGTTTTTTTTGCTAAAAGGTGATCGGGGCAAGTAGGTCGATCTAAGTGGCAGGGCGACCTCATCGTGAATCAAAGTTCCAACAATTATCCGACATTATTAAGGCTTTCAAGCTGACCGGTTGCTTATTTGAACGACCTCAATGGTAGGTCGGGCAAGTATTGGAGCTTTAGTGGTGAAAATTTGGCTTGAATAAGGCTTTAGAGATCGGCGATTGCTTGTTTGAACGACCTCAGAGGTAGGCCAGACAAGTGTTAGTGCCTTAATAGGAAAAAATCAGCATGGCTAAGGCTTTCAAGATGGCCAATCGCTTGTTTGAAACACCTAGAGGTAGGTCAAGAAAGTGTTGGATCATTGATGGCAAAAGCCCGACATGACTAAGGCTTTTGAGGTGGCCGATCACTTGTTTGAACGACCTCACAGATAGGTCGAGCAAGTGTTCGAGCCGTGATGGAAAAAATCTTGCATGACTAAGGCCGTTGAGTTGGCACGTCATCCGTTTGAATGACCTCAGTAGAATGTTGAGAGGATGTTCTTTTGTGAAAAATAATGTTGTCGACAACATAAATTGGAAAATCCAAATTGATTTTTTAAGAGAGACCTCAATGGTGGTAAATTAAATCGCAAAGAAGTCAAGTTGGTAAGAGTGATTTTATTAGTGAATTTCGATCTAATTAAGTTCTGGATATTTGGCACATTTCAACTTACAAAACATACTATTGGCATCCGAGTTGGTTAGCATGGATTAAGGATCTGAGCCCCTTAGCACAACAGTTTAGCGAACTAGTAATCTCATAAGACAGAGCTCCCAGATCAGCCTCGTGGAACGTAACGTCCAGCTTAGCCGCATCCCTCAGCAATAGGCGATCCGAACTTGAAGAATGGCGAACAGAGTGAGAATGAGCAGGTGCAGAGTCTGACCTCAAAGTCAAGTAGAAAATCCGAGTTCAAGATGGAAAGTAAAGAAGTCAATGGCAAGTCATGACATAAGTCCGACCTCGAAGATCTCAGAGCTCGGACCTCAAGGCGCACTCAACCTCATAAAATAATAAAATAAGGCCATTTGTAGCCTAATGATGATCGATGAGATGTGCCACAAACCTTACAGACCTACGACCAGTAGGCCCCTAGAGTGGAATGTCCTCGTTAAATCCGATAATCATAATTTAGAGTCAACCATGCCTCATTTAATGCCCGTCAATGTGGTTTACTGTGCAGTATGGCTCGGTGAAAGTAGGGAAATAGTAACCAGGAATGTTTAGCTATAAATAGTCCTAGGTTTCATTTATGGCGGGTAAGCTGAACAAGCTAAGCATAGAAAAAAAACTACAAACAAACAAGAAAATACGACAATCATTCTCAATCAATTCAGGCAACACAACCTAAACGGACCTCGAAGCTCATAGAGGTCAGCCTCATTCAAACCCAAAATTCTCTATTCTTACCACAAAATCGCTTTTTTATCATGATTATGGTTTTTCAATCCATAGTTGATATGATTAGCCGTTGATACAAATCCATATATCAACAATTTGGTGCTAGAAGGAGGGCTTCATAATTTGTTTGAGGTCAATTTTCGAATTTGTGAACATCACATCAAAAACCTTATTTTCCTTTTTCGGTGAAAATACCCTATGGAAACGTCTCTGTTAGAGAGCCAAGAAGGCAGTTCTCTATCACCACTCACTGCACGACTGACCACGTCAACCCCCGCCGTGGATTTCATGGCGATGTTCCAAAATCATAAACTCTTGAAGGGGACGACGAGTCTCGTGCCCGAAATCATGTCGCCTCCGTCACATGCGCCACCCCCACCGACGGGGGAGTTTCTCAAAACACCAGTGAAGAAGGACGCAAACCCCGCGGGAAACAAAGGTAAAGGTCAGTTGCAGCCTAAGGCCATAATTATCCCTCCAGAGGATGCAACAAAAATGCGGAAGGAGAAAGTCGTGGATCCTGTGCGAATAGAACAAACCGGCAAAAGTCGATCCTCGATGCAACACAAGGAAGGATCTTCAAATCCGTCAGTCTTTAGCCATCTCGAGGACAAAGGAGGTGAGCGAGACTTCGACAGAAAATACTAAAGGATCGATCCGCCAGGCGCGATTCAGATAAAATCGCAATCCTCATGAAGAGAATTGTTGAGCTAGATGTTGGAGTATAACATAGAAGCTAGGCTTTGTGATTATTCCCAATTCCATTTTGAATGAGATGTTTGTCTTTAGTCAAGTTGATGTTTGTAGTTTATTTATTTATGCGAACTTAGTTCCTTTATTTTACATTGTCGATAATGTGACAAACAGAAAGATCACATTATCGGTAAATTGTAGAACATAAATATTTATTCACGACGTTGACAGAATTGAATTGTTGTGCCTCGTTTATTTTAATTAAACATTTTTCTATTTATTATTTTAATTATTATTGTTATTGTAAGTAGCCTAGTTAGTTTTTCCTAATAAGAATTAAGGTAATCAAAATCATAAGGAAATATGATTTAAGTAACTTAAATTAAAAAGAATTTGGATAAAAATTTAGGAAATTAAAATAATAATAACTAAGGTAATATTTTAATAAGAGTAATGTAGGATTTTACTTATTTATTTACCACTTTAGGAGAGAGAGATGAGATAATTAGGAAAGACTAAGTCTCCCTCTGTTCTTAAAACTGAAAGCTTCATCTCTTATGCTTTCACTCTCTCTCAAAATTTTACTCTCTTCGACAATCATATTTTTTTTCCGGCTATCGAGGAGCCTTATAGCCGAGCATCCTTCAAAACACGAGCAGTAGACCTGAAACGCGGAATTCCTTCAATCCAGAAACATCCCTTCAGGCCGAAACCTCTTCTCTGTTCCAGCGAAAGGCAAGTCGATTTCTTTCAAAATCTATTTTATATCGTGTTGCAATTTTTGTTTTCCCTGCATTTTGTGTGATGTTGTTTTGCAATTTTGGAATCTGAAACTCAGTCGTTTGTTTTTAGACTCTTCACAAAATTTGAAGTTTCTTCTCTTATGTTTCATAGGGAAAAAGAATCAAGTGATTATCGATTTTATATTAAAAGCTATGTCGAATGTTTGAACATTGCGCAATCAGATTTCTTGTGCAGCGTCACCATACCCGTCTGTCTGTTCCTTGCTGTTTTGACCCCTCATACTTTTTTTTCTATTTTTATAATCTTCATGTGATTTGATGTTCAGTCTCTTTTCTTTCAGTAGGATCAAGATTCACATCAATATAAGATTTATATCAAAAGTTATGTTGAAAGTTTGATCCTCCCAATCTGTTTTAATTATCAAATGTGATTATGTGGAGCCTGTGGAGCCTGTCTTTTTTGCTGTTTTGACCCATTTCGTGTGACCTGACAATATTGATGTCGTCATATGAGTTGTATAATTTTTACTTGTATTTCAAAAGGTACAAATATCAGTCAATTATCAATTTTATACAAAAAGTCACGTTTACAATTCATGGATTGCGCATGTTGATATGCAACCAGTTTCCGCAGCAGCTTAACATTTTTGTTTCGGCTGTTTAACTTTGAGTCTTCAACAAAGTTATTATTCTCTTTCTTGGGGCTCTATAATAAGAAGAATTAGCAAAATATCTATTTTATATTATAAGAGATATGCTCCAATTTCGAATGTCACGCTAGCCATTTCGAAACCCTTAATCGAGCCTTGATTTTGAATACAAATAATTAAATTAGTTAAATAAATATACTATATTATACATTATATTTAGGGAAATTTTTTTTTAACCTCCAAAACTATGCCGATTTTTAAAGTTTGCCTAACGAACTTTTTTTTCTTGACAATTTGCCTCCCATAGTAATCGAAACTAAGAATTTGCCTCCTCCATTGAAAACCCTAATATGGAACAAAAAATATTTTTTAAGTCAATTAACGATAAAGTTTTTAATTGATCGTAAAAATTAATTTAGGCTTTTAAAGCCAATGACGAGAGGAACAAATTGAGGTATGGTATGTCGATTTCTAAAAATTGACACATCTGCAATCAATCGACGAATATAGTAGGAGCACGTATGTATGGAAAAAAAATAAATTCAAGTTTTTTGATGATCAAGGTATCCGATTTCCGATTAAAATGTGTTATTTGAAAGCTTGGAAGATGAGTTTTCTAACAAAGTAAATCTTATGAAAATCCCACGGTCGGATTTCGTTAGTAGCCTAAAAAAAACTAACTATTGATCAGTAGTTTTCTAACTACTTATCAAAATCCGACCGTTAGATTTTTCATTACGCATTAGAAAATTGGTCCTGAATGCTTTCAAATGATACCTCCGAATAGAAAATAGGATATCATGATTATCAGAAAACTTGAATTTAAATTTTTTTATACACACGTGCTCCTACTATCTTCGTCGATCGATTGCAGAGGTATCAATTTTCAGAAATCGACAAACTATACCTCATTTTGTTCATCTCGCCATGGGCTTTAAAGCCCTAAATCAATTTTAAAGATCAATTTAAAATTTATCGTTGATTAAGTTAAACACTTTTTGTGTCATATTAGGGTTTTCAAACGATGAGGCATCATTCTCCTGATGAGAGCGAAAAATTCTCCTGGTAGGAGCGAAACCTCCATTCTTCTTCTTTGCGGTTCTCAAGCGGACTATGACAGCTATTGGCAAATTCAGCAACCAATAGAGGTCATAGAATTGAAGCAGAATTTCTTTCAATTTATATTTGGAAATATTGAGGACAAATGCAAGGTGGCTTCAAGTACCAATTGGATTTTTGAAAATCAATACCTCATTCTTATGGAGTGGGAAAATGGGATGAGATCCAACCACCCAGGGTTCAATGAGCTTAATCTCTGGGTTCGAGTTCAGAATGTCCCCCTTAACTGGGTTAGTGCAGAAGTTGGGCTGAAAATAGGAAGAATTTTCCGAAAAGTCAAGAATAGTTCAGTGGTTAAAGCATGGGGTGGTAAAGAAAGTTTTATCAGACTTCTTGTCACAGTGGACTTAACTAAGCCTTTAGCCAGATGCACATTCACGAAGTTGCAGGATCAACAAGAACTTATTGCATTTCAGTATGAGAGGCTAGTTAATCTTTGTTTTTACTGCGGTAAAGTAGGGCATCTTGACAGAGACTATGGAAAAAGACTTTCAGACATTAATCAAGGGTGTCTGCGGGAAGGTGAAAAGGCCAATATGGTGAATGACTCAAAGTATCTGACAATGGGGGTTATCCTAGAACCAATCACAATAGTACTCTTCCTAAACAAAACTCCAACCCTAATGATCCAGAAACTAATGGCCAACAAGAATCCTCAAGCAAAGATAATTTTGCTAATGGAAAAGCCAAAGGCAATGCAAAGGATGTCATGAACAGGATTGGGCTAGCAGTCCAAGGAGATATTGAACCTCATTGTATTCATGAGGAGGGTAATACCAGCCAGGTCAGGGTCAGCCAATATTAATTATAATTGATTCCATCTTTGACAGAACAAAACAAGGAAGTGGTTAATCACCAGCTTGTTTGCTTAGAGTCTTCTTCAGAAGTTGATCTAGTCATGGCTGAAGTTAATCCAGAGATGATGATTATTAAGCAGCAGTCTCTCTTACAACCCAATGAAGTAAGGAAAAGTTCAACCAAGGTTAAAGGTCGGAAAAGAGGGAAAGAGCAAGAAGGCAGACTCATTAGAAATCCATCTCCTAAAAAAGATGCCAGCCTTCAAGTGTCACTAAAAAGGGCCAGAACCTAGACCCATATGCAATATGAGTTTCCTGAAGTTGAGGATCAATGTAGCACCCCATTTGTTCTGGATTTATTCGAGATATTTAATCGTTATATTTTATTCGAATTAATTATTTTGGGCTCGATTAATTAATTTCTACGTGATTATATGCTCGTATTTGCCTAAGTGTATTTATTTTATTTTATTTTCTAGAAATTATTTTAGTCGAGCTCGATAATTTTATTCGATTAAATGCGCTTAATTGCTAAATTGTATTAATTTTAATGTCGAGCCAAATAGTATTATTTATTTTATTTTCGGTCGAACCGAAAATATTAAATAACCGAGACTCTGAACCGAGCGAGTATGCGTGTTAATTTATCGAACCGGGCCGTCGAACCTCTCTTTTTCCCCAAACCGCCGGTTCACTCCCAAACCCGGCCGCGCCCACATGAGAAAACCGGCCCCAACCCGTCACCACCCTCATGCATGCATGAGAATCATTTTTGAATTTTGAAATTTGAAGATTGATCCCTATCCCCCTTTTTATGCCATTCTATCCCCCTTCATGCTACATTCCATAATCTTAAATGGGGGTTACAAGTCTTGAATTTGTGATTAAAAGAAGGTTGACTCCTTCACCTACTCACTTCCCATATCTCAATCTCGCTCCCTCATTCATCTCTCCCTCGCGGTCACTTCCTCTCTATCTCTTCCTTCCCTCATTTTTCTTTGTTCGCCAGAAAGACCCCCAGCCGCCGTCGCTCCGCCCTCGCTCCTCCACGCGCGCCGCAGCCGCCACAACGAGCCGCCGTCCCGTGTCCCTCGCCAAGACAGCAAATCCCTGATGACCTTCACTCGCCCATTTCGCCATCACGAACCACCGGAGACATCACTTTCGTCGAGCGAGCCAAGCGGGCGATCTTCACCGCCCGTAGGACCCGCCGTCTCTGAGCTCCATTTTTCAAAACCGAATCTCGACTATCCTCCCCTTTGGTGTTTGGTTAATCCATTTTACTAAACTCCACAATTTTTTTGATTATGTGTGATATTCGTTGATATTTGTTGATGACTATATGTTCGATTCAAATAACGTTTCGTCTAATATTCATCGAATATAATTAGTGGCTATGAAATCCTCACTATGTTCATTCTTTGCTGAAGTATAAGTGATATTGCTTGCTGTCGAGACGTTATATGAATAGTGGTGGAGATTCGGTCATCTATTATGCATGTGATTGTCATTTTATGTGAAATTATAATTTTTCATTGTTCTGTTGTACTGCGATTTGAGTTATCATATAATGGTTATTTGAAGTTGTGACCTTCATGGGAATTGTAGTATGTTTAGTTTTCTCTATCTGGGCTTTGGAATTTCTTGATTTCGAGCTATATCAGTAAAGTTATGATTTTTACAAGATTTTTGTGCGTCCAGTTTTTCCTGTTACCCGGCAGCATATATATCTCTAATGTATGACCTGTTTTTCATGTCATAATGTGCTCTTATGAACTTATGCCCTTAATGAACATTGTATATCTGTTTCGTACCTTTTAAATAAGATAAACTTCATGTTGATATGTGCTCTGTAGTTCGATTTGTGTTCTTATAAAGTTAGACATGCATGATTTGTGACTTATCACTTTGGCAGAAATCTGATACTGAATGTTTACCGATTTTTCACTACCAAAATGATCTCAAATGATTCTGTGTTCTAAGTGAAAGTTGTAGAGGCATGCTTAACGCTTAATTGGAAATTTGAACCATGTCATTTTGAGGTCTGTAACTCAAGATAAGTGATAAAATCTGAGGTGCTGTCCATATTCCAAGTTAATTCTTGACAGGTTTACTGAATCACATGTTTTGTGTCTAAACTCGTTGATATATTTGCCAATGTGGTCTTCAGCAAAGTTGTAGACATTTGAGATATATATCATATGGTTTTTGAAATTCATTTAAAGCATGACTGTAGCTCCAGTTAGATAGTAATTACTGAAGTCTGGTCAAGTTTATTTTCCCAGTTTTGAACTGTGACTCAAATTTTAATGTTTGGTGATTTATCACCTGTTAAATAACCTTATTTGCTTTCAGTGTCTTCATAAGAATTGTATATTCATGTCTTAGGATTCCAATGCAACTTGATTCATGTTCATATGAGTTGTTTGCTGAAAGGTATGTCGGTTTTAAAAACGCTGCCCGGGTCAAGTTTTCAAAACTTATGTGATATTTTTGGATATGTGATTCCCTTGGTTTAATACATGCTTAAATATTTACAAGAACTTAGTTGGACTAAGTAATTATAATAGTCTTTTATAAGACTATTTTAATAAATGTAGGTGTTTGACGAGTCGACCTCGCCGCCTACCCCTTATTTTGTGTTTTGACTCGATTGCTACCAGGTGGGTTCATTTATGTTGAATCTATATTTATCACACTCATTATCTCGTATAAATTTTTGTCGCAATAGCTTTTGTATGCATGAGAACCCTAGTCTAAGTGTCCCGACGGTAGTGCCTTTGACGAATGCATAATCAGTGGAAGTCACCTGCCCGTTGCATCCGGGAGGTGGACGCCCGAATTCGTGTAGAGCGGAGGGGATTGTCTGAATGCCCGAATTCGTGTAGAGCGGAAGATTTGTTGTATGTACATAGGAGGTATGCGATAGGGCCTAATATGGAGTTAGATCTGGATTCTATGCATATATTATTTATAGTCGTGGATCTTTTGCGAAATATACTGTGCGGTAATGGTGAGTATGATGGTTGTACTCACCCTCATTTTCTTTTTTGTCCTCTTGTTCCTCTTCCTATCCTTTTAGGTTGAGCATGGTTGGCGGCGGCAGCGAGAGACAATCGAGTGGTGGTCGTTGGATTGTGTGTTACTTGCTTTCTCTTTTATTTTCTCGATAGACCGTTTCTTTAACTTTGAATAATTATGCTTCTGCTTTAGTTATTTTGAACATGATGGTTAGACCATGGAATTTCCGTTGAAGTATTTAATTATGCATGACTGGGTTTGAGAATTATGAATAATTTGGATTTTATTTTGAACTGTTAGATTTTATCTGTGTAAATGTTTATTTGTTTTAGTTGTTTAAGTAGCGCTTGTTGAATATTAAAGTTTTCAATTGAGATTTTGCGAAAAATAAACTCTGATTTTTATAAATGAATTCGATAAATTCTTTAAAATAAAATGGGGCGTTATAATCAAGTAATAAAAAAAAAAAATATCCAAAAGCAGCAACCCGAAGGTGGAGGAAGCCAGCCTCAATTGGCCCCAAGTTGATCAATGAAGATGATATTGTGGAATTATAGAGGTCTGGGTGGACCCTCTGCAGTTTCCTAACTGAAGGATTCTATAAGAATTCACCACCCCAGCTTCATTTTCCTTTCAGAATAAAAAAAAAAAAAAGACTTTGTTCAATCAATTTGTACAAAGTTAGGTTTTAGTGGTAGATGGGTGGCTGAGAATTCTAGAGGGCTTAGTGGAGGCCTTGTTCTCTTATGGTTGCTCAGAATATTTTGCAGATTGTTCAACATTCCTTTTATTTTGAGGTGGAAGTTGGCAAACCTGATGGTGTGGGCTCTGTCTATTTGGTTTTTGTGTATATAAGTACAGACAGGGCCACTAGGGAGGAGCAATAGAACTTTTAGTCAAATGGGGATGATTGAGGTGAGGATGCAGGGACATCAGTTTACATGGTCTAACAATAGATCACATGAAAACTTTATTGAAGAGAGGCTAGACAGAGTGTTTGGCTCCTTTCCATGGTCTTCTTCCTTCAGTAATGCGGTTGTATTGAATTGTTACAGAACCCCTGATCATAGTCTCATGGTACTGATTGATGATTCCAACGGCCAGCAGAATAAGAAATCAAAGTTCCTGTTTGACAAAAAGTGGCTGACCAGCCAAGATGTGAAGAAAGTGGTTTAGGATGCTTGGGAACCACAATGTTTGGATACTCCCATGTTCAGGTTTCAGGAAAAGATTAAGAACACCAGACTGGCTCCGCTTAAGTGGAGCAAAGCTGTCAAGACAAATAATGCCAAGAATATTGATAGCCTTACTCAATAATTAGAAGAGATGAGACTACTGAGTGAATGAAGGAATTGGGATAGCTGGGATGTAACACCCCACTTATCATAGTAAAATTTTCACAACTTTTATTTCGAAAATACTTATAAATTTTTCGAAATCTTTTGCACTTAACTCGGGATGCTACTAAAACTTATCTTTCTGAAAATCTGTTTATCTTTAACTTTGTCTAACTATTGGCTTAGACATAAAGAAAACAGATTTAATCAACTCGCATGGAAACTGGATCATATTCATATTGCTGAAATGGTTAAAATATGTAAGTCTAAAAATACTTAACATGCAAGTTCGAATCATGAAATGCGTAGCAGAAATCTGAGAAGCGTGACATAATATTATACAGAATGTATAAATAAATGTCCGTGTAAAATAGCAACTGTTTGCATCCACGACGACCACCACCACTGCTCAGCTCACACCTCTGCACCGACCCTGTTACCTGAAAAACACAATGGGGGTGAGTACTGGTCTTTTTATATCCCGAAATCACCCATACCAAAGTAAACAACAAATACAATATAAATCATGATCGTCGGGTACGTGTGCACACTCTGATGGATATTTCTAAGGCAACTGAGGGCCTCCATCAGAACTTAGGATGTACTGTTAAGGCAACTGGAATCCTTCATCCCAAGCGTATAAACTGTATACATACCTCGGACATGATATCATATTATAGTCAATGTAATACCCAGGCTGAGTCCCCACCTTTTTTCTTTTGAAAACTTTTGAAAACTGTGAGTGTTGTTATGGGTAGCTGTATCTGCAAGCTACATAAAAATATAAACAAATATACTAACTACTATGCTCATAATATTCTCAATAGGATGCTAGGATGCTTGACTTTAACTGATAACTTATTCGGATTTTAAAGTGGTTCGATAGGGCCGATATGGCTCGAATGGATACTAAGTCACCGGACAACTTAACTTTT